GCCACACTGGCTGGGCTGCAGCCCCTTTTTGGATGGAACACAGAAAGTGGAAATAGACTCAAGGTTTGGAATGACTATAATTGCCATGTGAATGTCTTGTGGGTTGAGGAGAGAATCACAAAGCCTGAATAAACCCTGTGCGGAAGGAAAAACACAACCTACCAAAAGGACAACACAGGATAGGAACTGCAAGACTTATTTGAAGTCCGATTGTATAAAAACATCCAGCTGCCAAAGACTCGGGCTCTTACATGTTTTAAGTTTATTTAATCTTTATGTCGACTCTGACATGTTAAGAATATACACTGAGCAAAGGAGAGGTCTTTGATCTCCTCCGTTGGACTGAATTCATCATTTTCATTATCAGGCATTCAAGAATAAAAGACCGTGTGATATGCAAATGAGAGGATTGGAAACAACATTTCTAATGCTGGAAAAATGATGTCATGGACAGCCCAGCCGGTGTGGCCCAGTGGTTGCAAATCACCCTCCCCCCGCACGTCCCCTCCACACACAATAGCCTGCCAGCCCCTTTGAACCAAGCGCTGCTCTTTCTCACCTCCATATTGCAGTGCCTAGTACAGCGGTTCTCAACCTGTGGGTCGCGACCCCTTTGGCGGTCAAACGACCCTTTCACAGGGGTCGCCTAAGACCATCGGAAAACACATATTGAATATATAATGACATATTGTGTTTGTGATGAATCACTGTGCTTTAATGATGTTCAATTTGTAACCATGAAAATACATCCTGCCTATCAGATATTTACATGACGACTCATCACAGTAGCAACATGACAGTGATGAAGTAGCCACGAAAATAATTTTATGCTTGGGAGTCCCCACAACATGAGGAACTGTATGAAAGGGTCGCGGCATGAGGAAGGTTGAGAACCACTGGCCTTAGTACCATGTGAGTCCCTGGAGCTCAGACACACCTGAGGGCTTTCGAGAGGCCAGAGAGAGCTGGAGGGCCCACAGGTGCCGCTCCTCACAGTTTACCTCCCAGAGGAGGGCGGCTATAAGTGCGCACATGTGGGCTACGCCACGTTGTGTGCCGGGAATTGCTGGAGACGCTGGAGTTCAGGTACAGTTACTGTCATGACAAATAAGACTGATTCTGTTTTGCTAATGGATTTAGCGGTGCCGTAGAATTCTTCAACTTTTCCTTCCTTCCTTCCTTCTTACCACTCCCTGCAATTCCCCGACAACTGCTTTGATGTGGTGGGGAGAGAGGTGCTCGCTTAGGGGGATGCAAGCTCTTTTCATCTCTGCTTCGGCTGGACTCGCCGCCAAGTTCTCAGCCTGCCTCTCTGGAGGGACCGACAGCATTGGAAAGGGTAGGAGGTGGTGTGAGCGCCGTGGTCTGAAGAGTTGGCCTTTGCAAGGGCGGGGGCATGGGGTGGAGCCGCGAGGAGGAAAACCTCTTTTGGAGCAGTCTCCTTCCCCTTCCGGGATGAGGCACAGGTGGGGAGGAGGGAGCCCCTGCTCACTGTCCCCCCACCTCAGACCCTAGGCTTTGAAGGGAACGAGTCAAACTCCTCTTTTCCTGGAGCGGAGGAGCCAAACCCAGCTGGGTTTGCAGCGTCCGGGCCGGTTAAAGAGCACGATTTCCACTTTTGCTGAGTGACACCAAATTTTAACGTGTTTCCAAAACGTCCCCCTAGCCCCCCGCTGCTGGCTCCTCTGAACCCCCTCCATTGTGGGCTCTGAGCAGCATGCAGCTTTATTTTTCAGTGTCTGGTGTTGGGTTTCCCCCGGTACATGGCCTCCTCCTTCAGGGAGGAAGCCTGCGAGCCTCCAGCTTCCTCTGCCCACAGCCTCTGGGAGCCTGCTCACCCACCCCATCCCTTGGTTTTAAAGTTCTATGGGAAGGAATGCGTCATCTCCAGGTGAAAACGAGCATTCGCTTTGTGTCCATTGCATTGGGGGTGCAGACGTAGGCAAGCGTGGCCTTCGAATGGCTGCAGAGGGGAGCAGCCTGCAGGACACAGGGGCCACAACGGTAACCCCACAAAACAGGACAGCTGTGTGTCCCCAGCTCATCTCCTTGGCTCCTCTCTCAGGAAAGGCGCAGGCAGGGCGGTTAGTAAGTAGTTCAAGTCCCCAGTGCCCTCCTCTCAGCCCTGTGACCTCCGCTTCCCTTTCCTTTTCTGTAAAATGGGAACAGAAACTGAATCTAGTGCGTGGCGATGTTGTAAGAGCTGGTGAGCAATGTCTGGCACACAGTTTAGTGCTCAAGGCGTACTGGCTATGCCTCTATTAGTAATTAATTATTACTAATAGGAAAGATTAGGAGGTTGTGGCTCTCCTGGGTCTTGGTGAGCTTGGCTGGGCAATCCCAAAGGCCCTTCGAGGCCCCTTCAAACCCTACCCTCTCCGGCCCGGGTACCGTTGCGATTGCTCAATGAGGTTAACCTGGCGGCCGCCAAGGCGTGGACACAGGTGCGGCCCTGACCACAAACAGGGCGTGGGCTTCGGCTTGGCCAGCCGAGGTCGGGAGAGGCCAAGTGTGCCGTCCGGGCGGGGGCTGGCCCGGCCCCAGAGCCCGGCAGGGGGCGTCTGGGGCGCCGTCGGGCAAGAGACCTCATGCTCCGGCCCCGCCCCCCGGCGTCCCGAGTTGGCTGCCACTGGCGGCCTCGCGCGGTCATTGGCCACGGGCCGTGTCACTCTAGCAGCTCGGGGCCCGCCCCCGCCGGCTGGTCAGGGCGGTGGGGGCAGCCGGGCGCGACGCTACCGGGCCGGCCCGCCCTGGGAGCCGCCCCAGCCCTCATCAAATGACCAGTATCCCTCCCTGGAGAACACGGCCCTTCAGAGGAAGGCCAGCTCCATCCCGCAGCCCGGCGCCAAGCCGCCGTCATCTCCCTTCCTGTGCCGGGTGATCCGTCTCCTAACCCACCCGGAAAAACATAGTCCGCCCTCCTGTCCTTGCGGAGTGGCGCTCGCTCCCCATCGGCCTGCCTCCCTCAGCCCTCGCCAGTGCCTCCCCCCTACCCAGGACTCTAGGGCCCCCCGAGGAGAGAGAGCAGGTCCCTAGGGACGGCTCATGGGAGAAGCGAGCCGGGCATCCGGGGGAGAGGAAGGCGAAGGCGAGGCTGGCGGAGGGACACCGCGGTCGCCGGCGCAGTGCGCATGCGCGCGGGCAGGAACGAGTTCCGGTCTGGCCCGGGCCTGGCTCCTAAAAATAGCCCCGGTGTGGGGATCCGTGCGCGGCGGTCCCGGCGAGTCCCGGGCTGAGGGAGGGAGGCGTCTCCGGGCGACGCGGTGCTGGCGGCGGGTCCTGGCTGCGGCGTGTGCACGCCTGCCCGCGGCTTGGGGACACGGTGAGGGCCGCTGGGGCTCGGGGCTCGGGGCCGGGGGTGCCGGACCGGGCGGCCTTCCGACGACGGGGCCGGCCGGGGGCTATGGCTCGCTGGGGCGGGATGCAGGGCGACCGAGGCACGGAGCCCGCTGGCCCCGGCGACGCTGGGACAGGGCGGCGTCCGGCTGGCGGGAGGCCGTGGCGCGGGCTGGCGGCGCTGGGGCGGGCGGGGTGCGGGGAGGCGGCTCTGGAGGGGGTCGGGTCGAGTCCGGTCCGCACCGAGGGGCCAGGAGCCCCTTGGGGGTGTTGTCTGGGTGCTTCGTGGTCAGTTCTTTCTCGGATTTGGGCCCAGGTGAGTCTTCTGGACGTTCATGGGCGGACAATGGAAATCGGGTTAAGAGTACCCCGGTACTCTTAATTTTAAAACCGAGACTATCTCTTTTTAGCTATAGCAGATACGGGAGGAGGTTACCATACGTCTCAACCTTTAATCCACTATGTTGTTATCTTCGAATATTTTTCTATTGT